AGGGATGCCGGTACTTCACAAAGATAGATCTGAAGTCCGAATACCATCAAATTGCCGTTAGGCCTGAGGACCAGCACAAAACCGCATTTCAGACCAGGTACGGTCTGTACGAGTTTGTGGTGATGCCTTTTGGCCTATGCAATGCGCCTGGTACGTTCCAGCACGCGATGAACCGGATATTTCATGAGTACTTGGACAAGTTTATCGTCGTGTACCTCGACGATATTCTTATCTTCAGTAGGACTATAGAGGAGCACGCGGAGCACATGAAAATAGTGCTAGGTCTCCTCAGACAGCACCAGTACAAGGTAAACTTGGATAAATGCGAGTTTGGTCGCACCAAGATCTTGTACTTGGGTCATGAAATTTCAGCAGATGGGTTGAGGTCGGAAGATGCGAAGGTGGCCAGCATACGTGACTGGCCCAAACCTCAGACTGTTACTGAGGTCAAATTGTTTTTGGGGATGACGGGCTATTATCGCCCGTTTGTAAAGAACTATAGTACTATAGCTTCCCCATTAACGGATCTAACTCGACTTGACACCCCTTGGGAGTGGACTGAAGAGTGTGAGGCAAGCTTCAAGAAATTGAAGTATGCTCTGACACACTATGAAGTTCTCAAACTTCCGGATCCTGACAAGCCATTTGTCGTGACCACAGACGCTAGCCAATATGGCATAGGCGCGGTCTTTGTGCAACAGGAAAGGCCCAAGTTGAGACCGATCGAGTACATGAGTAAAAATATGCCTTCTCAAAAGTTAGCTAAGTCCACTTATGAGAGAGAGCTCTACGCCCTATACCGAGCGGTAGTTCATTGGAGACACTACCTCCTAAGAAGATTCTTCTATGTGAGGTCTGACCATGAAACTTTGCGCTGGATTAAGACACAGCCTGTGTTGTCAGACGCACTCAAGAGATGGATTCAAGTGATAGACATGTATGACTATCAACTTGATCCTATCAAGGGTACGTACAACAAGGTGGCTGATGCGCTATCAAGAACGGCAGATTATCTGGGGGCACTAGTAACAAAGTTTGGCATATCTAGCGATTTGACTTGATCATTGGTGGATGCCTATCAGCAAGATCCAGTTATGTTCGAGATCATTCGTAGATTCAAGGCAAAGGATAAAAAGACTTTGGACGAATTTACAATGGTAGACGGCTCGCTGTTTCTTGAGAAGGCAAGGAATAAAAGGTTGTGTGTTCCCAGTAGTGAGTCGTTACGTAGTTTATTTTTAGGAGAATGTCACGATGCAACTGGTCATTTTGGCTACAAAAAGACATCAGCGAACTTAGTACAAAGATTTTGGTGGCCTTCTATGATGATAGATGCAAAACGCTATGTTGAAACTTGCCAGGTTTGCCAAAGAGACAAACCAAGGACTCAAGCTCCGCTTGGGCTGATCAAGCCCTTGCCGATTCCTGAAGGACCAGGCCAGAGTGTGTCTATGGATTTCATGGACACCCTTGTGACCAGCAAGTTTGGAAAGAAGCATATCTTTGTTGTAGTGGACCGTTTTACTAAGTACGGAAGACTGATTGCCATGCCAGAAACAGCTAAAACTGACTACGTCATCAAACTGTTTATGGATAATTGGGTACGGGATTTTGGTTTGCCTACATCCATCGTTAGTGATAGGGATGTGAGATTCACAAGTGAACTGTGGCAGTCAACTGCTGAACTGATGGGCACCAAACTCGAAATGACTTCAGGGAATCACCCTGAGTCAAATGGCCAAGCAGACCAGATGAACCGGGTAGTACAGCACCTACTGAGGCATTACATTAAGCCAAGTCAGGATGACTGGGATGAGAAGTTATCTCTCGTCGCTAGTTTGTACAACAGTGTTGTGCACAGTACAACCGGTATGACTCCCAACCAGTTACATCTTGGTTGGAAGCCCAGAAGTGCATTGGACTTTCTGCTACCAGAAAGACACTCCACTTCAGCACCTAGCAGCATAGAGTTTGTTGTCAAATATGAACAGATGCTGCAGCAGGCCATTGAACATATTAGGAAGTCTCAACATGCTATGATTGCATCTGAGAATAAGCATAGACGACCCTCTAACTTTCAGGTAGGTGAACGAGTCTGGGTGAAGTCATCTGAATTAGGTCAGGAGTTGGGGATATCCAGAAAACTGATGCCAAAGTATTTCGGGCCCTGGGAGATCTTGGACGTTGTAGGGGATCAACCGGATGGGCCTTCATACGTGATCCGTATTCCTGCACACCACGCACCTACCCAGTGTTTCATGCCTCCAAGCTGGCACCTTTCGCTGCAACTGAGCAGTTTCCTTCCAGAAGATCAATGCTGCCCCCAACCATGGATGGCGAAGTGGACATTGACCAGATCATCGAGCATCGAGTGATGCCTGTTCCTCGACCATCAGGCAGAGGGTGACCTCCTAAACCGAGAATGCAATATCGTGTGAGCTTCAGACATCATCTGGATCCTAAAGAAGACAGGTGGTTCACACGAGAAGAACTCATGAGAACAGCACCTCAAGTCATCGCAGGCTATGAAAGAGCACTCAAGGGGAAGATGCCTGCAAAATGAGAGACTTCTCACAGGACTCACGAAGTAAAGGAAGAGGGAATTCGAGGATTAGGGTCCTCGGTAGACCTATGGGGCCCTGTTTGCAGCCTTACCCGCCCTAAGTGAAGGCGGAGGTGCCCGCCCTAAGTGAAGGCGGGCCTGGCTTTTTGCAAGAGGCCCTCGACTGTCAATTTCATATTTGGGCTCCAGGCAGTTGCGACGCGCCAATTGGTTGAAAGAAACACAGGCCGAGCATCGAAGAAATTTCCACGGCCTACCGGGCCTTTCCAAAGAATGCAGGCCCTGGGCGTGATTCGCAGCCTCATACAAAGACAGTTGGGCGCCCAACCGAACGAGGCCCAGCAGCCCAGTAGCTGCTGCATCCAGGCAGCCTCCTGGGGCCTTCCGAAAGCTTATGGGCCCAGGCCAGCCCAGCCAGGCTGCGAGAGCTGGCCAGCTCTTCTCTATCTCTATACCCTTAAAGCAAGCAAAGGGCCCAACGTTACGCCCCCGCTGGGCCCAGCAGAAACCGGCGCGGGGGCGAAGAGTTCCAAAGGGCGCCGCAGCAGGGAAGCACGGGGCCAGGAGGACGCAGGGCAGAAAAGGACGCATGGCGGAAAAGCGGCGGAGGGTCGCGGCCCGGTGCGCGTGTCGTTTCGTGGCGGTGGTACGGACCGCACCGCGGCACAGTGGAAATGCGGGCGAGGGGTTGCGTCCTGGTGCGCGCGTCGTCTCGGCGTTGTTACCGACGGAAGCGCTGGGAACGCGGCCGCGGTCCTGGAGCCCCTGGCGCCTATTGAGTGCGTGTCGCCGGCGCACGTGTTTGCGCGACTCCGAGGTGCGTCGTACCACAGCGAGGTGCGTGCGTGCGCTTGTGGGTTTTCGGGCACAGGCCCACGCATGCCCGATGGTGTCATGTCGAGACGTAGGACCGTGACGACGCATGCCATGCGCGCTGGCTGACGGTACCATGTCGAGACGTGCGACTGTAATGATGCATGCCATGCGAGCTGGGCGAGACGCGCAAAGAGAGGGGCTGGTGGTTGAGGCGGACCGACGAACGTACAAAGAGAGAGAGAGAGAGAGAGAGAGAGAGAGAGAGAGAGAGAGAGAGAGAGAGAGAGAGAGAGAGAGAGAGAGAGAGAG